GCGATCTTATTCATCTTGTTCCGTTGCTCTTGTTCTTGTTCTCATGTGAATGTAAATGTAACAAATAAAATATCTTAACATTTTTACTAGGGCTCGCATGACTCGCATGACTCGCATGGCTCGCATGGCTTGCATGGCTCGCATGGCTCGCATGGCTCGCCCTTTGGCTCGCATGGCTCGCTGGCTCGCAGGTTTATAACACTCAGGTCTATTGTGTTAGGCTGAATTTTAATATATCGAAATTGGTCTATTCTTCCTTAGAGTAGCGTATCTTTGTTTAGAAATGTCAAGCGATTTTGAGTATTATTTTGGCTTTGTAGTTGACGAAATTTACAAGCTTGGACATACAGTAAAATCTCGATGTTTTGACACTTCGAAAATATTGTACTGCCTCTGGAGTCAACTCTCATAGACTTAAGTCCCCACAAATTACGGTTGAACCCGTCTGAGAGTACTCGATATTTGTTCTGAAATGCCAAGCGATTCTATGTAACATTTTGGTTTTGTAGTGGACAAATTCTCTTAGCTTCAGCATACGTACTATATGAATCTCAACTCACAGATACGGTTTTTAAAAAAACGAGATACCTGACAGTCTAACATTTTAAACCATGAAGTTCTTGACTATTGGGAACGTTCTATTTTTTTCAATTTACACCTATTACAAACCCTCTTTTTTAACTGGCTGTCGAATATCGCCTGAATAAGCTCCTTTAAATGATGGCTTTATTGCCAACAGTTCATAGAACTGTAAACTCTGCCATCACTCGGTAGGTCTTCAGTCACATAGCCTGGTGACTTCGTCATGTTATGTGCTTCCATGCCCTGGAAATGTGAACAAATATTCAATCTAGCTAGAGGGCTGGTTAGTTCGGAAATCCCTTGACATTTCTACATGGATGTCAAGCATTCTCATCAGGTTGGAGTTATAATTTTGCTGGAAAATCAGAAAGAATTTCTGACTGCTGGGTATATATATAGTTTTCTTCAGTGAAGAACCGTGCCCATCAGTCTCACAAATCTTTGCCAATTTGTGAATTGCAAACCCGAAACATTGTATAAGATAGTTTGTTGTTTCTGACCAAAGTTCAAAATACTCAAATACTTTTGGGAGGTTTCTAATCATAACAATTTATTTTTGTGGAAATTAATCATCTATGAATTTTTGACTGCCGGGTATCTAGATTTTTGAACAACCATGACCGTGAGTCGAAATTTTTATAGTATGCTAAAGCTAAGAGAATTCGTCCACTATAAAACCAAAACATTGTTTAGAATCGTTTGGTATTTCTGAACAAAATTAATATAGAATACTTTCAGAACATTAAGGTGCAATCATAACTATTTGGGCAAATTATGCGCCGCAAGAATTGAAGTACAGCAAACTACAAAGAAAAGGGTTTACAACGTACCTGAAATTGCTGTAACCTCTGAATCATAAAGCGACTCCTCAATTTTTCGGTCTGATCTTCTTTCCCTTCATTTTACAGGGCAAGTAATCCCTTCCTTTAGTACGCCGTTAAACTTGTCAAGGACAATTCATGTCGTCAGTCTCCACAACACTGAACTGTTTTTCTTCGATCAACTGAAAACTTCTGCTTCAATGCAACAGCTTCGATATCCAACTCAGCTCTCGATCAGTTAGAAATTAGCAGGCCAAGGGTCAGTTACAGTGTATGCACGTGATACACTATAATTATTTTGATTGGCTTAAGCTAACTTGATTGACATTTCAGGATTAAGGATCAGGTGGGTACAGTAGCAGGTCACGACAGATTATTTTGGTCAAAGATAACTACCATATCAAGGCACTCAAGGCACTCTTGTATTGTTTGCATCTACATGCCTCCGTTAACTGGTACTCCGTTAACTGGTATACTGTACAAAACCCTGAACGTAAAAACTGAAAATAATTGTTGCCACCTGACAACCTTGCTGGATTCGTGTATTGCAGTTGATTGAGATGAACCAGTTTTTACAAAGTCTTTGACAAGGCACTTGCTTTGTCACAAAAGGCATGCTCTGCACAAATCAGTTGGCACGTCATGAAAATGCATCCGCTTTTGATATTAAATTTCATAAGAAAACACAATTTATTCATCTCTGCCAAAATAACAAGACCTTCGACCATGACATTGTCAGTGTTAATCAATTTCCTGCACAAGTAGAATGGCTTTACTGTATTGCTAAAGAGATCAACAGACAATTGTGACAGGTCCAACAGCAATGTACCACAGAAATAGAGCAAGTGCTGCAAGCCAAGTAATTAAGGGTGTTTTTATAATTACTGACGGTAATGTAGGTTTTGTACATGGGATTTGATACCTTTTATATCGTGTGCAGTGTCGTCAATGTCTACGAAGTTCGTTTCGAAAAATTGAAGGGTTAAGGGTTCTACTATGTAATTATGGCCCATTACTTATGAAATGTCTTGTCAGTCTTTCTAATAGCGGGGTAAAACTGCACGTCAGTTAATTTGAAGTTATCCCAGTTTTGTATTTATCGCACGTGGTTGATGGAATAACATCGTACACGGTAGGCTAGTTTCATCGATCATCCAAATGAGATATGAGTGAGCCGTTGATTTCCCATGTATGCCGCGATGCAGGCCATAAGCACGCGATACAGTGGGGAGGATCTCAGCAAGCTGCAGAACACTTGAAATGGATGAAGCAGTTTTTTCCTGGGCCTCTTTATTACACTAATGAAACGGCCAAAGAAAAAAAAAAAACCTAGTGATAATGTAGTGTATGTGTATCTTCCAAGTCCGCAATTATTATAAGATCTTTATATAAAGCAATCATTTTTTCTGTAACAAGATCTCCGGCTTCTGTGTTAATTACATCGAGTGGCCTGATTGCATTACACGCTCTTAGCAGGTTTCAGAGCTGCAACCATGAAAAACTTTTGCAGCTTGTGTTTCTTAGGTTTCAGTCGCTATGTTAAAGTAACTACAAAAAATAATGATGAACTCTGGAAATGATGAAATCTCTGGCTGTTTAAGTCACATGCATGTCAATATTCTTGAGTCTTTAGTTTCTATTATTTTGCATCATACACGTACCGAGCGGTATAGTAACATCATGTGCATGTCTCATCGAACCACTCCGGCACTTCCATAAAATTTGGCAGATTGGTAGTAACAGAAGAAACAGCGACAACGAACCAAGCTGTTATCGTTATTTTATTTTTCTGCTTCAGTGTTATTACCGCCGTCATCGGTCATGATCAGTTTTACCCATATCTTTTTGATTTTGCTTCAACAACACATTCTAAGTTCACTGAGATAAGCTGAATTGTTTTTAAGTGTCAAAATATGTCGATTTACTAGCTACAATCTAGCAAGATTCCTAGTGTGTATATTCTGGTGATTTAGGGCTACTTATAAACTGTGCTTTGCAGCTGCTAGCAGCTATTTCACAGCTATTGGTGGGCTGCCAGACAGCTGCAAAATGCTGTGAAGCACTTTGAAGGGCTGCACAGCGTTCTTGCAGCCAGCTGCAACTTTACTTTGGCTGCAGAAAAGCTTGTGAAACACTGCAAATCGGCTGCATATCAGCTGTACAACTATTTTGAAGCGCTTTTGTGGCGCTGCACAGCGCTGCTTATTTCGTATGGGTGTTATCCTCAACTGAAAGGATTTGATGTTATGCATGTAGAAGTAGAGCATGATTACTTTCTGTTGTTTGGCAGAACAAGTAACACTGATCAGGCAAACTGAAGCACCTGACAGCAACGTCACTGAAGCTCAAGCTAAAGAAGTAAGATTTGTACCTTTATACCTCTGTACATGTAAATATTCAACTCATGTAGCTGATACTAAAAATTTTCCCATTTTAGGTTTAACATTATTTTTCCTCATGCATGTGCAGCTGTATATGCATCATGTAAATTTCTGATCAGCAAACTTTTTTTGGAAAGCACAATTTTACTGGGAAGTTCTGTTCTTGATTTCATGTGTACGTATTACCTAGAAAACTAATTATTTCCTAGATAATACAATGTACATATATTTGCTTCAGACAAATATTTTCAATGTTTTGCTTATAGTTCTTGGAAGATGGAGCAACTGAGGAGGAAAAAGCTCCCATTAATGACACAATGGAGGATGCTGATGATTTGGTATGTACATGTACTGTACATGTATTTACTTTTTTACATCTGTATTTTCAACATGAAAATACAAACGGAGTGATTGCATGCTCGTAAAACTATGAACATGAAGCTAAGTCCAGTAACAGAGTACTTGTCAACTACTTTTTACAACAAAATTTGTACCAGAATTTGGCTAAAATGGTTTAAAGAAATACGCATCAGTAAAGGAGGTTAGGAAATGTTCTGATTACCTGTATCACACATCAGGGGTTTCATTTAACATTTTTAACAGGAGGGCAACTGGTTTTCATGCACAGGCGGGCAAAACTATTTGATCTGAACTTCTTTATAAGAAAAACTTTCCGCTAGATATTCAAACCAGGAGGGCAGAATGACCTTCACAGGCGGTCATTATGCGCAGTGCCCGGCCCTTAATGGAACCCCTGCTAACTTAAACTTTTCAACTGGCAAGTGGGTATCATAACACCACACAGTGTATTTGTACAATGTAAATTGCTAAAAAATATAATATGTCCTGGGTGATACTGCTAACTTATTTTATCTTTTTGATATCCCAGCTGGAGATGATGGAGTGACAGTGACAACAGCGCACAGAAGGCAATAGCATGTGCCCGAGTATACAGGACTTCAAAATTGGATGTGTGTCAATGCACAAAGAAAAATGAGCATGTCTTAGCAAACATCATTTCTTTGTAAACGAGTAAGGAATATAATATAGTTCAATTGCCGAGGTAACTTTCAGTGACTGCAACTGCATTAGTTCGCAATTATCTTTTGGAGGGTTTGGATGAATGCAAGAACACAAAGTGTGCTTGAAGGACTTGATTAAATAATATTGATGATCAGTGACATTTAGTTATAGTTTAACTTAATTACCACTTACACCGGCAGATAATCTGTACTCACAGATGAGCCAAACCCAGAGTTAGGCAACTGATAGGAGAAATGCAACTATATTATTAATTTACAAGTTCAAAATTATGTTATTTGTAATAATTACTATCTTGTTGAAATGTGTAAAGTTACATGACTTGTATGTATTTTGGTTCAATAATTATACAGCCTTTATGAAAGCAGTCAAGATTAGCTTTCC